AATGCTAAGAAAGCTTGTGAGTGTTAACTGGGGTTGGTTTCTGATGAACACTGGTAGGACTATCTTGAAGGCCACATACAAAACCTCTGCATTTGCGTGCCTGAGTTTGATCCAATTCAGAGTGGTATTCAATGCCATACTTAAAAAACTAGGTTTGCAAAAATAGTAGATATTTGCCACCTGACAGCTCGCCTTGCAATCTTGTTCACATGTTTGTCACCTGTATAGCTGAAATTCCCCAACAGATTTCGAAACAAAATCTCTACATTTGGAAGCCAAATATAGCTCTTTCTAGAACACATTAGATTAATTATGTCATGTCCATTTTAAAAGTGGAGAAAATTCGATTTTTTTTTTTAGTGGAAACTTGATGAATTTGTAGACTAAATAGCAAACTTTTATGGAGATTTTTGCATTATTTCCCCCTGACACTGGTCAATAGTTTTTTTTATAAATATATATACAGGTAATAATAAAGCGCACTGCTCTAAGCACTAGGCCAACAGTGGTTGCTTCTTAAACTGCTTCTTAAATCTTAACATTTAAAATAGCTTTAAGATTAGAATACTGCTAAAGTTCAAAGGAAAAAAAGTTATATTACATAAACCTGCTCTACGTGAAAAGAAAGTCTAATACCTGCTTAAAGGTTGCTATTTCCAAAAGGTTCTTGTAATCTCTTGAATGAGCCTCAACCCTAATCATCAAAAATGACAGAAATTATAACCGAAAATGACTTTAATTCTTTAACCTTCATTACTGAAATAACTGAAGTGAACTAATTTATTGAGATGATATTTATATCACAGCACTGGACCTAATGGGTAGAATATGAATTTGTAAGGTAAACAGAGATGTTAGCTGGAATATGAGACAGCATCATTAGGCCTGTTTGGCAGAGGCCGGTGATGTGAACATGCAGTCAAACTGACACACTGTGATTAATAAATGATAGCGCCCATACTTTGGATTAATAACAAGGAGATAGCTCTGCCAAGTACCGTGGAGCTTGAATCAATTACGCTGATAAAAGCTCTCCATTTTCAGTCGAATGACCCCCATCTTGAAAAACAACCAGAGGTGGGGAAGACGGGAGGGGAGGAGGTTTGGGTGTCTAGACATGCAGCTCTATGAGTCACGCAGCAGTCAGGACGAACAGAGGCCACTACAATGAAACCCCCTTGTCAAGTTTAATCTGTTTTTATAGCCAGATGCATTGCTGTTCCCTTTGGTAGATATTTGCCACCTTGAAACAAATAAGGGGTAAGAATTTCAGGCCACACATCATATTTTTTAAGATAAATAAATAATTAAAACATTTTTGTGCAAATGTCATCGGAGTTCAGCTTCATCATGTGATTCCAAAATCAAGCATCAGATTAAGTTGGCTTTGGTGCCACTTTAGGCTAATTATCACAGTTTCTTTGCCGTCTGGTGAAAATCAGACCTATAGATTCTATCATGTAGATTCTATATATTCTATTCTACCTATTCAAAATCAGATAACATTCGGAGCTGACTAGCTCCGCTGAGTCCGGATCTAACTGAATACAGATTAGTTTACTCATATTTGCAATCTGGTTATTTTCTTTGCTGTAATTCCTAAAAATAATAGTATATCCATCTAAAGAACATTAATCTCAGACATTCAGAACTGATAGTTTCTGTTGTTGTTTTATATTGTAATTATATGTAAATGTGTACATATTCAAAGAACAAAAAAATTCAAAATATGTTGTAAATTAAAGTCAAACGATGCCATTCATATGTCATTAAGAACATTTATCTGTTAGGGGTTTTTTGTTATATAATTGTCAGTAATATAATAGAACATGGTAGCTGGTTTGGAGTTCATCTGCCTGGCTGTGTGTTGACTGGACGGGGCCACCTGTAGAGCTGGCTTACAGTTGCCTTTTGTATCTCTGCTTCAGTCTCCCTAAACCCCAGTTGGCTTCGGCAGATGGCCGCTCACACTGTTAAAGGGAGTTTTTCCTGTCCACTATCGCTACAAGCATCCTTGGTGTGAGGGATTGCCTTTGAGTCAATGAGTCGATGCAATCAACTGGTTTTCCTTAGATAGGAAACTGAATAAAATAAACTGTAGAGCTTATAAATTTTTCCAAACTTAACCAGATATGAAACATAAAATTCTATCTCCATAATTCATAGACATTTATTTCTTTATTAGACATCCTGCAGACCTGTAGTTGGCTATACAAGGATCGTTGAGTAGTATGATGGTACTACTATCAACTAAGGAAGGGAAAAGTTTGCATGTTGCTAAAAAACGTTTTATTTCTCCGTTTTAATTTATAAATTACTTTAAGCTGTTTTGTGTGTGCTTCCTTTATCATTTTCTTTCTCTTGCTATCGAATTCAATTCTTAAAAAACTTTACTGAGTAAATGTATTTAAAGTTCAGAAGCTGACTGGTTAAAGGTTTTCAAAGGAAACCCAACCGCTTGCATTGAGCCAGTGAATTAAAAAATTCACTCCTCCTCAACAAGCATGCAACCCTGGAACCGATGCTTGTAATGTGGCATTGATTGCATCAAACCCTCATGCTAAGCATCCATGTAGAAATAGGTTAGGGTTCTCAAACTTGGAGTCCAGACCCCAGTTGGGTTAAGGGGATGATTTTTGGGACAGAAAATCACCTCAGAAAAATGTAATGTGAAAAATCAATGTAGCGTCTGACCGGACATTACAGTAGAAGGATGGCGAGCGGTTGGTCTCAAACAAAACCAGTTATTGTCTGCATTAACTAGGCTTCACCAGAACAACCACTACCCACCTGTCCACTAAGGCCATAGTATTTAAGAGAAAATTGAGCTGTGTTCTCCTGCTGTTAGGTGCCTTAGTTCCAGAGCCGAGCTCAGTCAGCCATTCCTGCTTTAATCTCCAGCTGATCCTGTACATCGCCTCACCTTCCCTTTGCTATCTGGATTATCCTTCCCTGAAGTGGAATAGTTTTGATTCCTGATCTAATGGACCTACCCCTGAAAGCGAATGTCCTCCAGACACACCTGAAGGAGGTGGTGGTACTCTCTGAACTGGTTGCACCAACACTGGTGGCCTTGCTTGCTTTTCCAAAGTAAAGAAAGCGTCTAACCCAGTGTTCTGTCAGATCAGCATACCCTGTCAGACCAGCATACCCATAGTCAAATGGCATGTGCAAGATGTCAGATTTGTGTTTATCCCTTTAGTATTGTACAAAAAATAGATTTTAAACTACCTCAATTGGCGTGTATCCCTTTAGTCGTTTACAAAAAAAAACAAAATAATTTAAGGCGAGATTGCCATACGCTTCAAAAAACACCAAAAAGTAAGTAATTCAAATTTTTTTCCTGTACTTGTCTAAAGTGATATGCGTCCGTTGAGGTAGTTTAAAGTTTCCAGGTCTGCCATGTTGAGGTGGAACCAGCAGGCAGCAGATTCTGTGATGCAGTGGAGCTTGTCCTTCAGCATGCAAATATCAGCACCTAAAAGTGGCAGTTTTGTTGCAGGAATTGTGTCCAGTGTGAATGCACCATATATGTTTATAAAAGGGGCCAGTCAGACGGCTATTCCATGATTTATAGAAATATACACAGCTTATACCATATGTTGTGATCAAATTTTAAACTAAAGAGTTTGTCACCGATACCTCACTATCTAATAATCTGATACATAGGACTGGGATAGCAATGATTTACATGAGAAATGCTAACCAAGCTTTTGAGAAGAACCTGATATTTATCCCTTTATCTATGTATGTATTGTTAAGATTTTTTTTTTTTGATCAAATTGTTAGAACTATCATTGATGATGTGTGAGTCTGTTAAACCCTTATAATACCGCCCTGTTGCGTAGTTGATCTAATTAGGACAGTTCCTTCTGTCAGGATAAAAGGTTTAGGGAATATAATGAGAGTGGTGTCCTTGATCCTGAGTAGTAGCCATTCAAAATTTCCCACTTTCCTTGATGGGCCCTTGGCTGGCGTTTGGCTGGTCCCCTACAATTCCTGTAATTCAGTGTAAGGGGGTCACTCAAGTGGCTGTAAGGTGGAAGAGAATTTGCTGGGAGTTGCGGGGGAGTCTGCTGCCATTCGGCCATCATTTGACTGGGAAGGGCCATTTTGAATTAACCTGACTCCGTCAGATGGATTTGCTCCGCATATCCATCTGGAAACCTTCCGTTGAAGTAATTTTGGGAAGGGGCGAAAATACTGGTTAGCTGATTGGCCTATGTTGGTGATAGATGGGCCAAATAAACCAATCAGATCAACGAAGCACATGACGTACTAACAGAGCGACGACAAAGAGGAGCCAATTGATAGATCAAACTCTTGCCGAAACCAGTCGGGAGAAGAGCAAAAATATCTTTTCCTCTGAGAAAAGCCTCCAGATCAGTGTTTTGCTCTTCTTTCAGTGAAGAAATACTCTGTAATTCCGATAAAACTTGCTCGATAGTCACGCTAACGCTAGTTTCATCGGCTGAAGCCGCCATGTTCTTTAGACTGAACTGTCGCGCTTCTCGTTGCGTCACACCTCAACCCGCCTCAAAGCCAGCGCTGATTGGACGTTTGTTTGGTGAACGGCTCCAAATTTTCTTTAACGGAGAGTCTCCAGACTGATCTGCGAGTGAAACCTTGAAAGCTCGCGAGATCAGGATGGTCTCACGAGGCTAATTTTGAATGGCTGCTCCGGTAAAAACTTAGTGTAATATTTTGATAAGGCTGGAGCCATGGATAGCTTGTCATCTGCAAACATTTATGATGTAACAATGTGATGATCTGGCAGACAGAGGATATGGAGTGGCGGCCTAGTGGTTAGGGCTTAGGCCTTGGAATCCATAGGTTGTGAGCTCAAAACCCCTGCTCCCTGTCCACCACACAGTGGCAGCCCACTGCTCTCCAAAGGGGATGGGTTAAATGTGGAGAGTTAATTTACCCATTGTGAGAACAATTTATTCATTATTATTTTTATAAAATGCTTCTTTAACTGTGATTTTGGGCCACTTCAGATGTGAGCCCGGTTGGTAAGCACTGCCTTCTGTAACTCTAAGAAACTTCTTTGGTCTGAGTAAGATCCCAATTTCTGTCAAAATCTGTTGTCATTTCTCATGGTTATTTAATACATTATGAAGTGTTATTTAAGGGATTTTCCTGGGTGATCTCTTCTCAGGAAAAGAACCGGGCAGAGAAGCTTTCCTTAACAAATTTCTGTCTTGTTCTAAAAAATCAGGGGTAGAAAACAACATTTAATGACTGGAATTTCCACTTTCTAAGCCTAATTAGCAGACTGCTCTCTCTGTTACTATTTAAGAAGACTTGATGTCACCAAAAATATGGATACCTCCAAACCCATTTATTGAGTCATCTTATCTGGTATGCCAGGTCCAACATTATGAAGAGTCAACAACAAAAAAGTGCTGTGAATGCAGAACATTTCATGTTTAAATTTAAACACTAGCACATAGTCTGACTTCCTTGCCCACACAGTAAAGTCTATTCCTGCTGTTGAGACGAGCTACACCTCTTTGATTATTGTTTGGACAGAAAGAAAGAGCTTGCCTCTCTTTGTTTTGCTCCACCAACTCTGCCTACATAAGAGAGAGTGCTACTCATAGCCGCACAGTAAGCCTCCACATTCAAACCATTTGTCGGAAGAGAGTTCTCTTCCTACAGAACAAATTACTCCTGCTATGTTTTTCTTTTTTTTTTATGTGCATCTGTCACCAAAAAGTGACTCTTTAAGAATCTGCATGTGTTCTTTCCGTGAATAAAATGTGTCCTGGTGTTCTGTTTCTGTTCCTCCAGAATGCAGATGACCTGTTGGTAGCCTCAGCAGAGTGTCCAAGTGATGATGAGGATTTGGAGGAGTGCGAGCCTGGAAATGGTGAGTCGGCTTGGGAAGTTCTGTCTCTATTGTTTTCTCTAAAGTAACCCGAACAAAGGAAAAAAAGTTCTCTCCACTTGCAAATGACACTTATCTAATCCCCCTGTATGCACCTCTGATTCCTCAAAACAGGTTACTTCTTTATTTTCTTATTTTTTGTCCTTTTGGGTGTTTAGAACAGCAGGTATTCAGCTGAATTTGTGCTTCTTCAATTTTTCAGCCTTGTGGTAATTTCTAACATTTACCCAGCTGTTGCGCCGATCTCCTGCATTTCCTTTAACAAGGACGAACATTTTCAACACGGAAGCACAGTTTGTTGTGTGCAGCATACAGCTGAGCCACTGTGTCTGAACAGCAGGTCAAGTAATGTTCTGACACCCCAACAGGAGGGGGAAGTAAAAGGCCATGTGTTTTACTCCCTGCCTTTATGCTTTGCAGCTCCATTGTACATGAAAACTGCCAAGGACCATGTTCACACAAAGAATCAGCATGCCTTAAACTACTCCCACTGCTACCATTAGGGCTTGGTAGCTGCAAGGGTCAGGAGGTGGAATGCATTTTTTTCTATTTTATGAACAAATCTAGACCGAGATTTTTTTTTTTCATTAGTACAGTCGGTAAAACAAGCTGTGTTTAGATACAACATATGTGCTGGACACACTGTTATGGTGCAAGTGTGCGAAAACTAAATTTTATTTGAATTAAATAAAAAAATTTAAAATCCAGAGAGTGAAAATGAACAATACCTCTCTGAATACAAACCACAACATGTAAACACAAACCAAACTGAAGCAGTGGCAGGAAATAAATGGTTTACATTGGAAATGTAGCCCTTTAATCTCACTTTAAGGCTAAATGCTGACCATTTTCACTTGTTCACATAAAAATACCTGCAACTATTTTACTTTTCGTGTAAACACATTCCTATCCAGTTAAAGGCAATAGACCTAATTTTATGAAAGACTTCTGACTGAAAAAAAAAAAAAGTTTGAAAATAAAGAAGATGGCAGAATTGCACTGTCGGTTGTTTTTTTTTTAACACCGCAGTGCTTTCTAGAATATACTGGGAATAAGGATTATGGCTATGTTGTGCTGTAAATAGCAGGAGATTACAGAACATATCAGTATGCTTGTGTGAAGAGAAACTGATCTGAAGCTGTGTTCAGGAACTGGAGAGCAACACTCTCCTGCGGTTTTCTCTGTAGGTGGTTAGGACCGAAATAGAGCCGCGGTTCCCCCTCTTATCGAAAGCAGAAATGAGAGTATTTCAGCGGATTCTATGCCCAACCTTAATCTCCTGTGGGGAAATGCAACTCTCTTTTTCCCACACACACACTTACCACACAGAGAGATAGTGGCAGACATGCTCACCTCTTCAGACAGACACTTCCCTCTCTCACTCTGTGGGTGTAAAGTTTTCTCCCTACCGACCCTCCTGAGAAATAAACACGCTTGCTTGCACGTATGCACACTTGCTTCGTATCGCGCCTCCCAGATGCTGAAACGCTTCCAGCATAGCAAGCCAGCCAGGTTGGATAAGCCTCTGTGAAAGCTGTGGACAAGAGCAGGAGAATCAACATTGTCCTCAACACATGTCCCCTACCATCCCTCCATCACTGCTCCACAAATACAGCCTTCCAGAGATAGGACTAACTCCCAGTGTAAACAATTATATGTGAGAAGGAGTGGGGGAATTATTAAGCTGCCTTTAGTAAGGACAAAAATGTTAAGCCCAGCACTGGAGTTTCTATTAAGCTGTGTCTGATATGACGGCTGGGAATTCATCAGGATCAATACAAATACTTTCTGCTTCCGGAGTGCTCTTTGTGCTTTACAGATGGGTCTTCCTGAAGCTGCTGTATAAAGGTTCGGTACTTAGCAAACATATTCATTCCTCTTGAAATCTTTCACATTTTGACATTTTAGAAAACAAAGCGAAGGGAATCAATGTGGTAGACCAAGCAAAGCAGATTTTATTTCTGGATAAAGGAGCATGGATATAGATAAATATCCATCTATGGGGCTGGTGCTTTTCTCCTGGACAGGTCACCAGTCTGTCATAAGGCAACACAGAGACACTCAGTCATGCACACACAAACTCACACCAGAGATCAATTTAGAGATGCAACTTAACCAAAACTCTGGACTCTGGGAGGAAACCAGAGAACCCAGAGAGAAGTCACACATGCATTAAGAGACCATGCAAAGGATTCAAACTCAGGATTTTCTTGCGGCACGGTAACGGCACTACAAATAACGCCACCATGCAGAAAACAAAATAATTTGCCATGCATGTCTAATTTTCTTTTGGCTATGCTATTATGGGCCATTTTGGAGTCCATTACATAAAAATACCTCACTATAGGGTGTTAGTAATAGTACATATTGATTGTCATACTGTAACTGGTGGAGGATAATCATGGCTGCAACCTAAAGTCTTGTGGCATTTGCACATTCACAAACACATGAGAATCCATCTTGTACCACTCCAGCCTCAGGTGTCCCTGGCCTACTCACAATGAGTTAGCCCGTGACAGTGCAGTATTATAGTTTATATATAGAGATGATAAGCAAGGAGTCGCAACCCCAACAACCAAACCAAAATAAACATGGCAGCACGGAAAGACATAGCTGCTGCTGCTATCACATCTGTTTTCTCGGAATTCATTATTTTCATCTCTAAAGTTGGAACGGCAATACAGTAGCATAATCATGTAATTTTTGTGGTTTTGGCAAAGACCAAGGTAGATGGTTGGGCACCGGGTGCTGCTTCGTTCATTTAGCTCAGAAGCTTCTGCTGAAAACAGATTCGATCGGAGCAGTAGCAGATTGATCATATCTTGAACTAAACCGGAGTGCTACAGTACATAGCCATATGGCTTGCAGGGTTAGTTGATATAGCAAGCCATGATATAATTCTTTTTAAGGAGTAATACTTGCAAAACACAGGGCTTGTAACTATGTTTGCAAGTGAGTCCGCAGTCTCTGATGCAATTTCTTTAAACCATATATCTGACTAGATTAACCTGCGCGATTAGATATGCATGTGCTAGAGCAGAGGTCGCGGATTAGCGGACCGCAGTCCGGATCCGGACCCACCTGCTCAATAATCCGGACCCTACCTGATTTCAAACATTTGTAAATTACCGTATGTTGTCTGACGGCAGTGTCTAATTTCACTTGCGGCACTTCTCCTGTTTGTACAGTAAAGCCCTCTGGGACCAGGATGCATGTGATGCCAATTAGCCAATGAGCTGTTTCAGTCAGGGCTGTTGCCGCTAGCTACTTTTAGACACAGCAGGCAAAGAAGAAGGAAAGAAGAAGAAGATGAGAAAAAGTGAAAGAAAGTGTGAACTGCAGGAAGAACTGCGGTCAACTGGTGAAAGAAAAGTGAAATGGCGTGCTCAAAGATGACCCTGCACATTTTGAGTATGTTTGGCTCAACCTGCTGCTGTGAAGCAGAATTCTCTACCATGAAGAGAATCAAAAATACATATCCAGGCTCAAAATGAGCAGCTTGATATAGGCTTCAGAATGGCTTTGTCTCCATTCAAACCCAGGTTTAAAGCCTTGCAGGGCAGCCTGAAGCGCACTTCTGTCATTAAGCCATAAAAAGGAAAGAAAGAAAATAAATGGTCAGTTCAGGTGTTTTATGAAATATGTGAATCTGTAACGTACAGGAAATTGGACCCAGGAAACAACTCAGACAGGTCAGAGGAATGCAACAGATTTTATTTATCACTGTGTGGCACAGGGAGCGTGCAGGCGGCTCTTAGTCAGGAAATCCCCTGCTACTGGGTCTCAGAGTGGGCGGTTGGCTCCATGTTGGGTCCTGGGCAGGAGTCCATAAGAGGAAGGGGCTTGTGGAAGCAGTGGCAGTTGAGTGGTGGATGGTTTGCTGAGAACTGAGGCCAATGAGCTCCAGAGAAAGTCTGTTTACTGATTCCAGTGATCGGGTCCGAGCAAAGGTACAGAGGGGCAATCCAGAAGATAGGTCCAGGTCCGATCCAGGGTCCGTTAACTGGCAGTTTCAGATAAGCAGAAGGGTTAGGCAGACTCGGTTACTCACTGACTGAGTGGGGTTCCGGCTCACAGGCAGGCAATCCAAGGCAGAACTGATGCAGGGGTCCAGAGGCAGATCTGGTTTGGATTCAGGGCAGGCAGACAGAATCAGATAAGGGATCAGGCAGGCTCGGTGAAAAAAGGCAGAAAACAGGTCAGGCAACAGGTAGGCAGGCAAAAGATTGAAATGCTGGAAGGTACTCAACGGTTGGTTTGAGACGATCTGGTACTGGGAACAGATCCAAAAGAGGTATAGATGGAGGTGAAACCAATTAGTGATAACAGCAGGCAGGGTGGAGTGAGCAGGTGTTAAAATGTATTTTTATTTAAAAAGTCAGTGTATAACATGGATGCATAAAAAACAAATCTTATTTCAGTGTTAAATTATGTTTGAAGTAACAGATTATAATTAAAAATGTCTCCGGACCTTTACTGGTTGTTGATTTTCTTTATTCTGACCCCACTGATTTTCAATTGTGACCTCTGTGCTAGAGTACACCTGGAATTCCGAGATCATGCAATAACAGACAACTTTATAAACAAAGTCAGTCTGTGATGAAACAAAAATGCACTTGCTGTTTAATTAAGCTCAAGTAAGATCAATATTTCAACTTCCTGACCAGAGATGGCATAATGTTTCCATCATGATTTAATAATTTTGGTTTGTATTTACCTCAAATACAGATGGGTTCTACTTTGAACACAAATGGTTGAACTCTTGGGTAGAGAACTTGTCCAAGTAGTTCTTCTTGGATTAAAGTGTTTTGTTGTGCTGATTTGTGAAATCCATTTTAAACTGCTGCATAAGTCCAAACAAAGAAGATCTATAATCAATCTTTGTCGGACCATCAGATTTACAGTCATGAGTGGTCTGCATAGCACCATTTACTACAATGTGTTCCAATTGCTACGGATCATATGTCCAGATTTCTTTTGCC